CTGTCAACCATCAAGGATGCCCACAACATTGTCGTCATGTCCAACGGAAGAATCGTTGAGCAGGGAACGCACGACGAGCTTCTCGAGAAGTCGGGAGCCTACTACAACCTCGTCAGCGCCCAGAACATTGCCCGCGTCAATGAGATGGATGCCGAGGAGGAAGCCGCCATTGACGCCGAAGACGACGAGCTCATCCGCAAGAAGTCCCGCGTTTCCGAGAAGGGCGATTTCGTTCCCGACCCCGAGGACAACATTGCCGCCAAGCTCGCGCGTACCAACACCACCAAGTCCCTGTCCAGCATTGCTCTCCAGGGCAAGAAGGAAGACGGCGAGGTCAAGTACGGCCTCTGGACTCTGATCAAGCTTATCGGCTCGTTCAACAAGCAGGAATGGCACCTGATGCTCGTCGGTCTCTTCTTCTCCATCATCTGCGGTGGTGGTAACCCCACCCAGGCCGTCTTCTTCGCCAAGCAGATCATGACCCTCTCCGTCCCCGTCACCCCAGAGAACGCCCACCAGATGAAGAAGGATTCCGACTTTTGGAGCGCCATGTACCTCATGCTTGCTGGTGTTCAGTTCATCGCGTTCGTCATCCAGGGTATCCTGTTCGCCAAGTGCTCCGAGAGACTGGTTCACCGCGTCAGAGATCGCGCTTTCCGCACCATGCTTCGCCAAGACGTTTCCTTCTTCGACAAGGACGAGAACACTGCCGGTGCGCTCACCTCCTTCCTCTCGACCGAGACGACCCATCTTGCCGGACTCAGCGGTGTCACTCTGGGCACGTTGCTCATGGTCTCTACCACTCTGATTGCTGCTCTGGCTCTCGCTATCGCCATCGGCTGGAAGCTGGCCTTGGTCTGCACGGCGACGATTCCCATCCTCATCGGCTGTGGTTTCTTCCGTTTCTGGATGCTCGCGCATTTCCAGCGCCGCTCCAAGACCGCCTACTCCAACTCTGCCAGTTACGCGTCCGAGGCCATCTCGGCCATCCGCACTGTCGCCTCGCTCACTCGCGAGAAGGATGTCATCCAACAGTATCAGGCTTCGTTGGCTGTTCAACAGCGCGCGAGTTTGATCTCCATCCTCAAGTCCAGCTTGCTCTTCGCCGCCTCGCAGTCCTTCATGTTCCTGGCCTTCGCCCTCGGTTTCTGGTACGGTGGTACTCTCATTGCCGACCTCGAGTACAACATGTTCCAGTTCTTTGTGTGTTTCTCGGCCGTCATCTTCGGTGCCCAGTCTGCCGGTTCCATCTTCTCCTTTGCCCCCGACATGGGCAAGGCGCACCAGGCCGCCAACGAGCTGAAGATCCTCTTTGACCGCAAGCCCACCATCGACACCTGGTCCGAGGATGGCGCCTCCCTCGACTCCGTCGACGGCACGCTCGAGTTCCGCGACGTCCACTTCCGCTACCCCACCCGCCCCGAGCAGCCCGTCCTCCGCGGGCTGAACCTGTCGATCCACCCCGGCCAGTACGTCGCCCTCGTCGGCGCGTCCGGCTGCGGAAAGTCCACCACCATCGCCCTGCTCGAGCGCTTCTACGACCCCCTGTCCGGCGGCATCTACATCGACGGCAAGGAGATCAGCTCCCTCAACGTCAACCAGTACCGCTCCTTCATCGCCCTCGTCAGCCAAGAGCCCACCCTCTACCAGGGCACGATCAAGGAGAACATCCTGCTCGGCGCCGCCTCCGAGGTCACCGACGCGGCCATCGAGCACGCCTGCCGCGAGGCCAACATCTACGACTTCATCGTCTCGCTGCCCGAGGGCTTCAACACCGTCGTCGGCAGCAAGGGCGCGCTCCTGTCCGGCGGTCAGAAGCAGCGCATCGCCATCGCGCGCGCGCTCATCCGCGACCCCAAGATCCTGCTCCTCGACGAGGCCACGTCGGCGCTCGACTCCGAGTCGGAGCACGTCGTGCAGGCCGCCCTTGACAAGGCCGCCAAGGGCCGCACGACCATCGCCGTCGCCCACCGCCTGAGCACCATCCAGAAGGCCGACATCATCTACGTGTTCGACCAGGGCCGCATCGTCGAGCAGGGCACCCACGCCGAGCTGATGAAGAAGAACGGCCGCTACGCCGAGCTGGTCAACCTCCAGTCGCTGGAGAAGAACCGGTGATTCGGTTAGAGTGTGGATTTGAGAGGAAAGAAAGAAAAAGAACAAAAGTGCATATGCCAGCGGAGGTCCCCCATCGCGTTGTCTCCTGAGATATCCGGATCGAAGACCTCGATCCATGTCTATTTCTGCATTGTTTTGGCGTTTTGTTGAATTTTTCCGGGGCAAGATGGCGGGAGATAGAACTTGGCCATGATACCTATCGTTGTCTCAATCGTGAGACAGATTACTACTACTACGCTTTGCTCACAAAAGGGGGGCTTTTACTGTTGACGATCACACGAGAAGAAAGAGATTTATGATCTCAACGTGTTTTTGCTGTAGCCTTTGGTTTTTTTTAATGGTCTAGGGTTGAGAAAGTAGACTCCCCTCCCACTTTGTACGGTGGTCAGATAGACATAATTCCAATCATTCAAGATGATCGTGTTCTCCTTTTGCATTGTGAAGACTGTTAGATGACATGTAATGTTTTATGGCAGGTGTCGACGGGGTGTATTGACAGAGACCAGTATGTGGGCTCAGGATGGCCATCCACCTATGGGCCTTGCTTGGTATATAAAACATCTATCTTCCGAGTCGGAAGAGATGTTTAGCAAGATGAGGGGCCATCCTCCCGTCTCGATAATAGATGGTAATCTGGGTTTCGACAGAACAGGTCGCTCCGTTGAAGTACCGGCTCCCTTCATTTTCGTCGTCTTGCGACTTCACGTTCGTACTCGTCATGGTTGATTCGTGGTTATGAGCAACCGTCGTAACTTGATAAGGCTTTAGACGTTGTGCGACTCACTCTTAAAGCCTATTTAAGATGACTTCTGACCCATTGAGAGCATATCCAGCAAATGAGGTGAAGGCATAGTCAACTACAATCCCTTCAGACAAAGATATCCTGGTGCAGAATGCATTGTGGACCTTGGGTTTCGGACGGACATCATCGATTTGACGACGCCGGCTTCCTTTGGTCCTGTCGTCTTGCGGCTTCTTGGTTGTATTCCTCCATGGTTTATTCGTTAATTGTGATAATGAGTGTCGGGTTTATGTGAGTCTTGGTCGGTGTGCCATAACCGCGTACGGGTTCGTCGGTTGGAGGAGTGGGTGGTATTGACGCAGAAGCTTATCTCATGAAGGAAGTTCTCAATTTGGTCTAAACTAGAGGGATATGTGTTGATTCTGGTGCGTTTTAAATTTAACTGGACGGCCTTTTGTCGCGGTTCCGCTGCCGTGGAAAGTGGTAGTATGAATTGTGTTGGGAAGCTTTGAGATCGAGGGCCCAACGTTGTTGTCTTTTCGCACAATTCTTTCCCAAATGGAGGTAAGCAGACCGATGGCTCTCCTTGTTGTGGCCCAGAAAGCAGCCGATTAGATTTGTCGCGCATGTATTCATCCCCATGTCACCATCTTCCTCTTTCGTTCCCGGCTGATGAGGAGAGAATACACGCCTGGTGACACAACATCTCGCGAACATGAGCATCTGCTTTCGGTGTGTGCGGCGCGCTGACTTCGTTGAGACCTTGGAGGGATTCCCTTCGGTCCATCTCGCATATCACATTATCATGGTACTTATTGTGCTGTTTAGAGCACGCCTACAAAGCAGAGGGGTACCATTTTATATCTCTTCGTGGAACACAAAAACATTCCACAGACAACCACGTTAATGCAACTGTCGATTCTCGGTATGCAAGACTCACAAGGTCCTTGGATTTGAACTTTATGGGCAATAAAATGAGTTAAGATGGCCCAAAAACTCGTCTTAGTCGGAACACCAATCAATGGACAGAGTTACTGGACAACTTTCGTGACAGAGCGGCTCTCCACGGTATCCATAGAATCATGCCGTGATAGGTGGAGAGGCGCCAGGTCTCCTGCGGGCCTTACTGAATCCTCGCGGGCCTCGCTCGTTCTTCGTCTTTGTCTGAATACGTTGGTTATTACGCCATCTTATTCCGCATTTAATGCTCTGATGTGCTGAATCTTTCAGTTGAAAACGGGGCCCTTCGCTGGGTGCTGCTGCTTACATAGGAAGCGAGTCTGCGATTTGCAACAATCTCAGAAGCTTCTTGAAGCCTCTGTGGGACAAAAAGAACCACTCCATAATCGTCCGCCTTATAAGTCGTCAGTGCCATGACCTAGAGGCGGATAGCATAAAGAAAAGTAGGAAGATCAACAGCTAGGCGGTCTGGGAGGACAGTATGAGAACTGCCTTTCAGATCTGGGACCGATGAAGGTCGTCCATTACGCTGATAGTTCTTGTTCCAAATTATTGCTTCGACATGACCCGAAAGCTTGCCCCTGTCAGAACATCTCGCTCGGCTACTAGTATTAATATCATCGTCTTGTACTGCCAGTCGTATATTCGTTGGTATGATACGCCACATGTCTATTCTTCAAGGTTGAAATGGCCCCCTCGGAAGATGGTTGCAACATGTCGCCCAAGGTTGATGGCATTTTGTCTTTTATCTGCCACAAAAGCTGCCCAGAGCCACCGCAGTACATCGACCACCGTTCCTCAACTTGGGTTCGTCGATCTTGCAGATTTTCATTCCAGCTGCTCGTTACAATTGAGTCTTTAGCGCCTCACGGAGCCGGTGGGATATCAAAGTCATTCCGGACCTACAATCTCAATCCCGAGCCCGTACCTGCAGTAACACGTCCGCCGTCGGCGTCTTGCCAAGCCTGCGGAGTTTGGAAATCCGATCCTTAAGCCCACTTACACGATGGTCACTTGCAGCCGACTTACTCCTTGAGAGCAATTCGAGAACAGCATAAAAGGGCAACCGCGACCTTGACTGTCGAGACTTTGGGGGATTCACGCATAGCAGTGTGCTCCCATCAACTTGAATAACATCGAAGAAAGTCTCTCCCACGGCCAAAAGGTTTAAAGGCAAACAATGTCCGCCAAACGAATCGCCCTCATAACAGGCGCCAACACCGGCATCGGCTACGAGACCATCAAAGCGCTCCTCTCCTCCGATCGATCATACCACATCCTTCTCGGATCCAGATCTACGGAGAAGGGTGCAGCGGCCGCCAAGCAACTCCGCGACGACGTCCCCTCCACGGCGAGCACTCTCGAAGTAGTCCAGATCGACGTCGACAGCGATGAATCCATCGCCAGCGCCTTTGAGCTAGTACGCTCAAAGCATGGCCGTCTAGATTATCTGGTGAATAACGCTGGTAAGACAACTGCGTGTTCGTATCCTTGAAGACGCTTCAATATTGACTTGGCCAGGTTGCGCCCTCACCGAGCCAGACATGTCCCCCCGCGAAGCCTTCAACGCCATGTACAATACAAACGTATCGGGCCAGCACGTCGTGACGATGACTTTCGCGCCGCTGCTGATCAAATCCGACGACCCGCGCCTGCTCTTCCTCACCAGCGGGTCGGCCCACCTCGCGCGGTTCGCTGAAGAGTTCTGGCCCGGCGAGGCGCCTGCGGCCGGATGGCCGAAGCCGGCAAGCCATTTTGCGCCGACGGGGTACCGCGTCAGCAAGACGGCGCTGAACATGCTTGTGTTGGCGTGGCACTGGACGCTGAGGGCGGACGGGGTGAAGGTTTGGGGGGTTTCGCCGGGACAGTTGGCGACGAACCTCGGCGGGGACCCGGGGTTGTTGAAGAAGCTGGGGGCGGGGGATCCGAGTCTTGGAGGGCTGCTTGTTAGGAAGGTTCTGGAGGGGGGGAGGGATGTGGATGCGGGGAGGATTGTGAGCCAGACTGCGGTGCAGTCGTGGTAAGCGTCGCCGGGCGTCTTTACATGTTTTGAGTATTGAGTAGGTATCTTTACGTAGCTTTATTGACACCGCCCTGTAACACCTTCTGAAGTGCTCTGAACAGTCTCCTGGTTCTTGTCGTCCTAGCTGTTGTCGTCGTCGCCGCCTTCAACCTCTGTTCTTCACGTGTGCAGAAGTGTACAAGCCAACACCACGATGTCTCTCACAACTTCCGTAACCAAGCTCTCCGCCCGTCATGACACACTATTCCAGGAATCTAATCATGGAAGAGCTTGTTGAGACCGACATCCGATTGTGTCTGGATGTGAAGGTTCAACTATACCCCATCGCAATGGAATATATACACGTACCAAACTTTCGAAGAGCACGTCTACGGCGCATCCCGGAATTGGCTATATAAACACTCTCCTGTCGAAGGCACATTGACGCCACCAGCAATCCGGGCGTCTTCCCTGTGGAGAACTTCCTTCTGTGGGACATCTCCATCACAACGATCGACTCTCTTATCCGCTACGAAAGACTAAATACATCAGGAACGAAACTTGATCGCGACGGGACTAGTATACCGTCCTCTCCGATCATCTTTGGATGATACTTGTGTGTATACATGCCTGTATGGAGGAGTAGCCGCCATGAGTGACGTTGAGACCGTGGCAGAGATGCCGACTTGACAGCCTGCCGTGCAAACATTGTCGCTCTTAAAGAGAAAGATGAGCCAGCTAGGAGCTACATTGGCATGGCCTATCCTGCGAATTCGCCGAGATGAAGTCGATCCTTTTTACATCGAGTCATGTTGGGACTCAGGTTTTCTGGAGAGCTAAGGTCCTCGTCACCTCCTCAACTCGACCCTCTTAAGCTAGGGTAACTGGATATCGCCGGCACTTCAATTAACAGTTCGCTCGTGACGCCTCACTGACCATTGAAAATTGACACTGTGGCCCGAAGGAACAAGTATTTCTCCTCTGAAAGGATGCGCGGGACCTCATGGTCATTGGGTACTCAGGGGAACCGAACGATGCAGTAAATCGGTCCGCCTTCTGTTCAACTGCACTTCAGACGCCCTGGGATTGAACACGGAAGTTGCATCGACATGCAGGATTCAAAGTCTCATGCGAGCCATACCATCACAGTCGTGCTCACCTGTTCTTCTTATTATGTCCCGGACGCTCTATCGTGTTGTGCTACAGCAACAAGGACTCCAGGACCCCACATCATCAGCCTTGTGAGCCAGTGCAAGATCATTAGGGATCCGGACTCCCAGATCTGATGCTAGGCTTCCCGCTCGATGTTGTTATCTTTGGAACACAATGCGTCTGCAGCGTCACCGATGACCGGCGTGGGGGCGAGTCAATCCTTCGTCCTTCTGGAAACACAAACATGCGCACGTCCAAACGAGAATCCCTCAGGCCCTTGCAAAGAGCCGCAATGCCAAGGAGCGTGCTGTCCGGGATATTTTGGTTGTTTGTGGTCTGTGGGCGGGACAGCCCGGACTGGGCCCCGCTCGACCCCGACGCGCGGCCGTCACACGGAGCTCGCGTGGAGTCTATCGGTCCTTGTGCCCGGGTGCCGCGCGGATGCGATCGCAACGCTACACGGACGGACATAGGGCTGCCGTCTGTTGTTGTTCGGCAACACGATGACGACGGCATGGTATTTGAGCGGCTGCTCGGCCTGTGTTCGCGGCGTGGCTGAAACATTAGTTGAGGACATGATGTGAAGCAAAGGCTCGGCGTGTTTTTGGGGCAGTCGACGACTGTTTCGTCTCGGCAGCTTTGGAGAAGCTGTCAGGGAGCAGCTCATGTCCTCACTTCGGGTCAGGTTTAGACAACGCCATGTCGTGATTGCCTCCCTGCTCGAAGGGATACTGTCAGCGTCAAAGTGGTGTCGTCAGGTTGTTCGCATCTGCCCATGTCCCACAAGGTATGCGGGTGAGACCTGTCTGAGTTTCAGCGAGGAGGACCGCAAGCCGAGCTGCCGACTTTCGCTCCCAATTCGTCCGCCCGAGTGTGGCGGAGGATTTAGCCAGCACCTGTGTCTCGGTTACTTCGTGTTGTGAACTCACATCTTGTTTGATGTGGTCACTCAAAAGCATTGTTGTGATTCTTGAGCCTCACCTGCACGATATATCGGGTAGTACGCAAGCAGGGCGAAGTTGTATCAGGTTGCCGCTGAGCAACATCGCCTCAGTCGTCTCATGTCTGTGGAACATCTGTGCGCGCCGACGGACAGTAATTCAAGCTCTGGAAGGGGGATACGGTCTAGACCCAGCTCGACTCAACCATGAAAGCTGTGCTCGACCAGCCATGGGAAAAGTCGATGATCACAACCTTATCAGGTTTGGCCATGATGTGTGTTCAACGTGGTTGGAATGCTGACGTGGAGCACATTCGACGAGGATATGCGAGCCCAAGCTACCGTCGACGCGCAGTCAACGCGCCGTCCTTGCCGATCTCCAGTAAGTCGGGTCGCTGGACGGGGACCCGGCAACCAGAGCAAGACCATTGAAGCCGAATATCCCGGAAAGGGGCAGTGATATCATACCGCGGCCCGACTGATTACAGCAGCTTGCTGCATTACTCTTCATCACACACACGCGATCCGTGGCGTCGTCGCACAAAACCTGTCGGGTTACGGTTGAGGTCTGAGCATTTCCCAAGTGAACGGTTTGCGGGCGGTATGCAAGGAGGCGCAGGTACCCGTCGACTAAAAGGGGCACCGCGAAAGCCACGAATCGATAGACCTCGCGCCGCCCACACGCTAGCCACGGCGTTGGGAGCTTTTAAGAAATGCGAGCTGTGGATGCGAAAAAAGGCACCCATAAACGCCGCGGGCCAATACCAAGACAGGCCGTTTCCTTCAGGGCCGTGTGGCAGTCAGACACGCGGCGGCGGGAGATGGCATTCCTGACGGGCTCACCGGCGTATCGGGTCGAGGGAAATGAGACAGAACTGACATGACACCACCTCGGATAGGTAGTGAGCCTTGACGACAGAGGGTAAACAGTCGAAAGAGGGTTCGGTGAAGACTTCTCGAAGGCTGGAGGGAGCATCCTTTCTGCAGGGAGCCGACGAATACGGTTATCGGAATTGAGTGGTTGTTAGTCGGGCCGCTCCATCCGATATTGGGAGATGTGCTGAACATTTTTCTCGGACCACGTATTTGACTTTGTTGATAGATGAAGTCTATGCCGGGACACTCTACTTTGGCGTAATCGTCCGAAGACGAAAGGCTCGTGTCAACCCTCCGACGGGGATCGCGCGGGGGACGACGGTAGGGTTCTTCGTTGCAGGAGTGAAGTCGACCAGCGCATGTGCGTGTGGATGAACTGCGGCTGATGGCAAGGGACCCCGCGTGGGCGGCATGGCAGGAAATGAGCAGCTGGAGACACAAGACGTGATTGGATTCCCAGCGGGCCGGCTGGCGCCTTGCAGAATCGGTCGATTCCAGTGCAAATCTTTTCGGTGGCCTTGGGCCTAGACTCTGACATTGTTGACGATGGCGGCTGATTTGGGTGCCTCATTGGCGCATGTCATTGAATTGAGCACGAGAATGACAACGAAGTGATAGCTGCAGGTTGGAGGCTGGAGATCCTCCCAACGGCTCGACGGGATTGGCGGCCGAAGATGAATGAGAGGAGGAAGGCCATCGTGTGAGCTTGTCATGCCCGTAGGCAGCATCTGTCGGGCGATGACCGCAGCTGCATGGCAAATGTTTATTGAGACGAATCGAGGCTAGAGGCATTTTGAAATTCCTTATTCGGGCCACGTCAGGCCAACGGGTGACGACGACTCAGACGATGGGGTCCAAATTGCGGTATGCGGCATGGCTGTCAAATCTTGGACTGGATCGGAAAAGACGCACGGAAGCTGGATAGGAGAGCCGGAGAATGGAGAACGGAGATGGGCAATTAGCAAAGAATTCTTTTCTTTTCTTTTCTCCTGAGAGAGGCGAGAACAGACGTGTTCAAGTGCTGTTTGTCCAGGGATGGCCTAGTCGGGAGTCGCTATTTTTACTGGGAGAGACCATCTCGAAGCCCCCAATTGTAAATGAAGCAACAAAGTTTGACAGCCGGGAGGATCTGGATCATTAGACACAGGGCAGCGTCGTGTCCCGCCGTTTCCCGTTAGGCCAGGCCCATTCGTGCCAGGTAAGCAACCTGGAAGGCAGCATTCAACGAGATGAGCCTTCCCTTTTGGAGTGGTGATGTTGGATTGGTTGGATTGGAAGCTGAGCAAGAAGGAGGCCTGAGGAGCTCCTTCCAGGCAAATATTGAATAATGTGAATGCACGTCCTGACTCCCTGACTCCTGTGCGCTTGCCTGTCGCGCCGTCAAGTGGGAAGTGGGGGTGGACGCGACACTTGGACCAATGACAGGCCCCACCATCTTAGCAGAGCCCGCTATGATTCGCCGATTTAATCTGCATTTTTTTCAGGTGCAGGCATTGTGCACCGCGGTCAATCTGGAGCTCCTTCCGCATTTTCACAACTGCTCCTCGTGTCCCGACAGGAACACCCCAGCCGGCGATGCACATCTTGCGGTCGAGTCGGGGTCGGGGAATGTGCATATGCAGGCGCACAGCTGCTCTTGCCTTGTGCAGGTCATTAGCTGGTATGTGGGGCGATACGCAATCCATCATTCGTTATCAGCAAGCTGCGAGGGGTCACGCTCTCTGCCTTGGTGCTTGGCTACAACCTTCTTGGGCAGTCGGCAGTCGAGCTCCGTCGTTGTGGGAAACAGCCCAGTGTGGTTCAAAATAGGTAGACGAGGTGAGCGGAGGCTTTCTTTACCCAAGGCATGTACTCTACGATACTTTGCAAAACACTAAAGATTTGTGACAGGTGAGCGACGATCAACGGCGCCAACTCCCACCTGAAGACAGACGAATCCGGCCCCCACAACTTCAGGCGCAGCAGGCTGCGTGCCGGACATTGAGCGCAATGCACCGCCAGAACGGGTGAAAGGGCCTCCGTCCCAGTGCTCCAGGGCTCCAGCCAGCGCTGCA